ATGGATGAAGTTCGCTATCGAGTGCTTTGGGGGGCAAGTTCAACTGTAAACATGGGCATAGTCTTGGGGGCATGAGTTGCTGTTAATTTGGGAATGGGTTATATGTGTAGGGTGATCCAGATGCCTCGCTACTTGTAGGTCCAATTGAACCTCTTAAGACTCATGCTTGTCTTGGATGGAATGTAGCAACTAAGCTTCTGGCACTCATTTGCAATCACCTCTCGTTCGTAGAAATGGTGGGTGGTGAAGCTTAGTTATATGTGTCGATTGAGTCTGCTTATAGATCCCTTCGTCGAAGACTCAAACCTCCCTAGAGAGTATAGAGCAACTCAGCATCTGACTTGGTTTCCATAACCTCTTCACAGAGATGGCAATGCAGCTTTCAAGTCTTGCTACTTGCCAGATTCAGTCAGCCTCACTGCCTGCTCGGGTCGGTGCCGAGCATGGGATTAATCAGGGCTGCGATATGAATGTAGTGGACAACATCCTGTACAATAAGCTGATGACGCGGGATGTTGGGATGGATGCCTTGTTGCTGATATGATCAAGTTGAACCCGCTCAACACTCAATCCCGACCCCATTAATCGAGAGACTGCCATACCAAGGACAATGATGCTACTATTCTATCGTGGTCATTGTACGTAGGCATTGTTTATCAGTGCAGTATCAGTTGTTCAACAGAGTCGTATGATGTATACTTCCCCGGCTTCAAGTTTGAACAAGAGAAAGTTCGGCGTACGGCTATCCCTCGGCTCTAGCTTGGAGCCTTGACCCTTTGTTAATTTGAGGCATCTAATGCACAAATGTTGAGTTCATATCTGCCAGCCAACAGATTTATTCACAAGTCCTTCTACTCCAGGCTATGACTGCAAACTGATAGTCTCTGGCAGGATAACTCGGAAAATTGTCTCGCGGGGCCTCACAAATCCTCTTCTAGCCACAGCAGCATCACCTAGATGAGCAATTTCTTGGCTCGAAATGCACACACAACCAATCAGTGGCCCCTTGATCTTCTTCAACGCCAAAGTTGACCTATTTGTCAAGTCATAGTTGAGCCAGCAAGAGATATAAGCTGGATAGACCCCTATCTATCTAGTTCGTCTACCAAGGATTACTGTCTTCACAACTCTGGTTGAGTCGGAATCAACGAGGCAGTCATTTTAGAAGTTGCAAGAGAGCCGACTCACCGTCTGCCGGTACTCTTGGTCCCCATGATGGGAGTTCGGTTCCTGCAGAAACAGCCGGCTCGCTGGCCAAATAAATCCCCTGATCTGAAGCAGGTTAGGCATAAGCAAAGCTTCTCCTATACCTACAAGTTCTCGTGATGCCAGAAATAAAATACTCAGGCGGTGGGTTGAACGACATGACCACCCGGCTGTTCAACGCCTCGTTTTCCAAGGTTTAGCTGATAGGTATTGGCTTCAACTGTCTCCGAGCCTGCAGGGCCTTGGGGTAGCTCAGGGGTTTGCTCACACCAGCGGGTGACTTGGTCTAGTATTCAACCGGGCATAACTCCTGCAAGTCTAAGGCGACATATAGATGTCCCTGCAGAGTGGAACTGAATCGATTGAGCGAGTGTTATTGTCTTGCTGGTGCAAAGGAAGCAATGTGACACCGATAAGACGGGAGAGTTTTGTTCTTGGTGCTGCATCAGATGGGTCTTCTTCTCGTCTCGGGATCAAGGAGGATTCCCTCTTGCGATTCGGGCAGACAGAAACACTGCTTTGCAGACAAAATGGCCTGCTTTTGTGTGCAATAGTTTACCGGGAAAATACGAAACCATTCAATTACCTCCAGTCAGTCTCAGACAGTTGAGAGGACAGTTGCATGGCGCCACTCAGTCAGGATCACTTGAGCTTGAGGACTACCGGGGAACTTGGGAGAGGCGGAACTATTGGAGGGACAGAGAGATGTTTGGCATACAGCTTATAGGGAACGTGCAACGATATTGTAACTTTGGTGGGCGAGTTCAAAGATGTCTTGAGCAAGGGGCTTGGGTCAGGTTCAGACGCAGGAAACCACAAGAAGCCGTCCCTCGATCGCGGTTGGAAGCTCATGGATAGACAAATGTCCAAACGAGACTCAATAAGACCAATTTAGATAAGAATCTGGACAGAATTGTGAAAGGAAAAGGCTTTATCCAGGCACTTTATCCCTTGATTGACAAACCTCTTCAGGCAAGTGTCTGACAGGTCCCTCGATTGCAACTCCAGGTCTTGCTAACGTGGCACGTAATTCGGATATTTGATCTTGCCACTATCTTGAATTATCCTTTATGAAACAAATTTGTTTCCATTTCAATGTCCCACATGGTTGTGAGCTTTGGAAAAGCACTCGTCACTGCCACCCTGTCTAGGGATGTAAGTCGCAGTTTGCTATACAGAGGCAGCATCCTGTTCTTCTAGAAACCCATTACATTCTTTATGGAGCTATTTGAGAGTCTTTCAGGAGCGTGCAAGCTACGATTCTCAGAAAATTCAAAGATTTTAGCATCTTCATCCGACTCTTCAAGAAGACATGGGACGCTGACACGGGCAGACTCATGACGGGTTCCGTTCCCAACATGGTTGTCACTATTACTCTCACAGGCTTCAACGTCCTGACTGGCCACAACGTGTAGCAGGCCATTGTTGCTGCTTCGATTCTCCGGAGACGCAGCCGACTTTGGCTTGTGAGAGCAACTTCACCCGCACATGGTCTCTAGCCAGATGTGTCTCTCCAGGTCAGAGTATACGCCCTACATGGACCCTCATTTTACCTCGTAGGGCGCACGACATGTAGTCATGGCCGTCGAGTTGGAATCCTTCTTCGCCTCCACCCGTACAATCCCATACGGAGTAGCCAGAGCCGACTAAGAAATGCAAGACGCCACGCGAGCCTCGCACACTACCACTTCAAGAAACAATCCCTAGCTCCGATCGGGGCCAGAAGTAGCAAGGCCATTCTGACATGCTGTCATGGTATTGTCGAAAATGGCTTAAAGTTTCTTTGCCCCGCCGCCTCAGCGCTGCGAATGCGTATCGTTGCCGATAGATGTGCCCATCACTTGGAGCTAGACTGCTCCTGGACCTGGCTGTATCTTGTTCGGACGACATGGCTGACCAGCTGGAAACCACCACGTCCCATTCAGGCTGCGCTCAAGCCGGGCTATCATTTCTGACGATGTGCTCGATGGATGCATCGATGATGGGAGGCACCTTCTGAGAGAAGGGGGGGGTGTGGCCTTGTCATGAGCTCAACGCCACACAGGCGTAAGCAGACAGCGTACGTCTCGATACAACATTTTGCCAAGAACCTCGGAGATGTACAGTCGCAAAAAGTCCAGAGTGATTTGTAAACACTATTACTATACAAGATTGGTGGACCATCAAGTTGGCAGACAAAGTTGAACCAAGTGTGGGTTCTAGAAGATTATCTCCATGTCCGCAAAAGAACGGCCGGCGCTTCGACGCTAGTCCGCTTTAGTCCAACCTCAGAAACCCAGCGCCGCTTCACAAACGACATGGAGCCTCACCAGCGGTACTCACGCCTCACCAGTCACAGCATCTACTCGACAGGCAAAGCGGCCGACAGCCATGCCGCCGACACAGCTACCCGCCTCAGGGAACCCCCTGTAAGTGCTCCGGAAACCCTTCAGTCGCCGCGCGTAAAAGCCTCCTGAATCTGAACTGACCGCACCAAGGGTCTTCTTTGACATGACGCTGGGAGGTGAGTATCCCGGGATAAAGGGCCATCATTCTCCAAGATGAAATCCGAGAGCCGCCGTGCCATCTAGCGACACGCAAGTGAAGGCGCGGCACCTCACGCACATCCATCCTCCAACGCCGTTTGCCCACCAGACAGCCCATCATACTAAGCACCCGGCAGGCGAGCCCCTCGGCCGCATCACATTCGAGCTCTTCAAAGACGTGGTGCCCAAAACGGCCGAGAACTTTCGCCAGTTCTGCACCGGCGAGTCCAAAGACGCCCAGGGCAAACCCCAGGGCTACAAGGGCTCCAAATTCCACCGCATCGTATGTCTTTCTCTTCCCCTCCCTTTCTTTTTCTTTTTTTTTGAGACTCCTTCACACGAGCATACTGGCTAACTCGCCAGATCCCCAACTTCATGTGCCAAGGCGGCGATTTCCTCAAAGGCGACGGCACGGGATCAACATGTATATGGGGCCTAAAGGCATTCGAGGACGAGAACTTCAAGCTGCGCCATGACCAGCCTGGCCTCTTGTCCATGGCCGTACGTATACTTGCCCCTTTTCTTTTTCACCCAAATGCCTCTTGAAAAGAACATCCTCATGTCAGTGTCATATACGTGCTTGTTTTGATTTGATGTCGTCGGTTTTATCTTCTCGCACAATCATCCGTCTGACTCGCGCTGTGCCGCAGAACGCCGGCCCCAACTCCAACGGGTCCCAGTTCTTCATCACCACGGTGCCCACGCCGTTCCTCGACGGCAAACACGTCGTGTTTGGCAAGGTCGTCGATGGCATCGAGGTCGTCCGGAAGATGGAGCACACCAAGACGGGGTACAAGGGCAAGGACGTGCCGAACATGGACGTGGTGATTGCCCAGTGTGGAGAGATGTAAGAGTTGCTGGACTTGGGACTATAGGCGCTGTGTATCATCCATTGCAATGTGTGTGTCTTTTTTTGGGCAAAAGGTACTAGTTGAGCAAAGTCTACGTTTGGGCTCCGTTGCTGGGAAATAAGCATCTGGGATTCGTTTTACCATCATCTACGTCGGATGTACAACGTCAAGACGACGAGCAGGACACACATTTCTCAACCGAATGTATTTCAGATCGCATCCCTATCTATCGCTGACTGGGCCCAGCCCCGACACGTCTCCTCCATCTCCCCAACTTCGTGTTGTCAACGATATGTAAAAAAAAAAAAAAAAAAAAGGTACCAATATATACAAGCGAACTTGCAATGTACCACCCAGTCAATCTACCCATAACCTTGTATCCTTACCCAAGCCAAGATTTGTAGTGACCCCTTTAGGCTTAGAACCATCTGGCTCGGCGCCGGTCATACGGCGCTGCCGAGGACACTTGCTTAGCGGCAGACTGGTCTGGAGTGCCTGTCGGAGAGGCAGTGGTGAAAGGGGCTTCATCGGTTCCGTGATTCGTAAGCCTGAGCATCGATTGCTCCGGGGCCGGCTCAGATCGGCGGACCTTTTTGTAGCCACCACCGACAGTCTTGAAGACGGTGGTGATGAGCGTGGTAGGAGGCACAGTGACATATTGCGTGACGGTAGCAACGCCGCCAGCGTCGGAACTCGCAGCAGGTGAACTACCGGTCGGGGCGGGAGCAGAGGCGGGAGCAGAAGCAGGCGCAGAAGTGGGTGCAGAGCCCGTGCCGCTATTCTCAAGACCGTCAACATTGACCTGGAAGTTGTTGGCCATCTGGTCCTGGACACCCATGGAGTAAACATTCTGCTTAGACACCCACTCCTCCTTTCCGGCATCCTTGCCCGCAAACCCCTTTGGTTTCTCGACAATCTTGATATCAATCACACTACTGTAGCTCTCATTGCGGCGAATGGTATCCATGGTCCACCCATTGGGAACCTTGTCGCCGCGCATAAACGACCCGGCCCATGGAAAACGTCCATCCGCAGTCTTGTCCATGTTAATCTTGTCTGGGTTCAGGGCCGGCCAGTCCCAGTACCAGTAGATGGTGTAAAAGCTGCCGGGCTTCAAGTTGTCGGGAAGCTTCAAATCAGAGTGGCACAACAACTCCTGTGAGTTCTGGGCCCCGTTGTCTTTCCACTCGGCGACGCGCTGGTTCGTAATGTCCGCAGTGTTAGGCTGGAAGCACCGACCATCGTCGTAGTTTCTAGTTGCAAGAAGGACTCCTTTCTGATTACCACCAGTGCCATCCTTGTTCCAGAGGAGATGGACGTCAAACAGTTTCTCGTTTTCACTGGGCTCGCTGGTGCCGTAAAGGTAGATGGTGCCTCGGTTCTTAGGCTTGTTGGCCTGAGTCTGGGGCAAGGTAACATGCCCGTTTTCGAGGTGCAGGAGGGCGATATGGTCTCCGGGGGCGGCTTCAAGCACAGGCTGCTTGGGATTCTGTTCAAAGGGGTACTTGTTCAAGATTTCTTTACCGGTGTAAAATGCCGTTCCATTTTCAGGGAGTATCCACTGGGGGATTTTGTCGGTCCAGCCAGACGTAATACGAGGCTGGTATCCTCGTGGGTAGCCAATGTTTCCGACCATTGTACCATTGGGGGCAAGTACGTAGGCGTACTCGATCCATGAATGGGCAGATGTCAAGCAGGCGAGGGCCAGCAAGGAACCGAGACGGAACGGGTTGCCGCGAAGAGACTTGAGGCTTCTCATCGTGGTTGACGCGGCGGGACGTGGCGGGACGTAACGAGACGTAACGGGGTATATCCTGAATTTGGTGTCTTTCTATAAGTCTGGCGTGAGCCAAGATGTGTTTTCTTTCCAAGTAGATGCAACTCTAGATGCAAATGAGAGTCTGCCTGTCTGGGGCTAAACTGTTGAAATGCTCGCAAAGGTATATTTTCTCGCCGGGAGAAAATCGAGAATCGAAAATTTTCAAGAAACAGAGGTAGAATAGTCGACCAAAAAAACAAAATGTTATTTTCCTGGCGGTAAGAATCGAAAATGGTGTGGTATAAATCGATCAAAATGATGGGAGGTTGTCGAAAGTAATCAAGAGGTCCCGCGGCCGGCAAGAAGTACTTGAGCGCTCACGGTCATGGACGGCGTTGTTGATTGTGCGCTCTGAACACAGGATGAGGAAGACTTGAAGAAGAAAAAAAAGCAAGGGGCTAAACAAACAAGAAGAAGAATAAAGAACAAGACTCAGAGCTGGGTGTTTTTGTCAAAACATTGAAGTGAACAGCAGGCCGTTGACAGTTGGCAGATCCACCAGCCAGCTGGTGTGCCCGGTGTGTGCAAGGCCCAAGCAGCAATGTGAATAAACGGGAAACTTTGTCGTTGTATGGTCTATTGGGACTGACGAATGGTGCAGGTTTGTTTGTTGAATCAATGGTCGAGGAGAATGAGTAATTGCAATCGCTGTGCCTGAACTGGGCGGGAACACTGAATGAGAAGCCAAAGGCCAAACAAAGAGTCAAAGTGCAAAGCCGCAAGAAAATCCTCAGCCACCGGACCAGAACACAAGGAGACTAGGAGAAAGAAGAAGAAGAGCTCGGTGAGTTGGCCATTCACCATTGATGCGTACGGCTTGGGCTTTTTACCGAGCCATGGCGACTATTGTATACCAAGTCAAGCGGTGTTGGTTCACGACAGACAATGACCGGGGGAGCCATGGCCTGACCGGAGAGTCGGCAGGTCGGACAGCATCTTGGCACAGAACAAGAGAAAATAGACACAGGTTTCATGGGGAGAGAGGCTGTTTTCTGCATGCAGGTTCGGTCGTTAGATGCGAACAGGCCGAGCCATCGCCGTTGCGCCAGAGTCTGCCGGGCGGATGGTGGTTCTAAACAGTCGAGGCAGCACGGTGGCCTATCGTTGCCTGGGATGACAGCAAATACCGCACGCCGCAGACCGTACAGGCCGCGGCCAGGTCGCGGTCAAAGGTGAAAGGTCCAAAGGGGGCATGAAGAGCAAGGCTAGAGTTCTGCAAATCTGCAAGACGCACGCACCCGAAGGCTGCACATGTTTCAAGGCGATGCCTGCACCACCAGCTGCCTCGCTCCTGCCCAAACAACCCGCTGGCCAATCCAATGGTGCCGCCCAACCCCAACACCGCCCCACCACGCGCCTAACGCTGCACTCGTGGGCCGTTCACCGTTGCGAACCGGCGCCTCTGCCGGCCCACGACTGGCTGTCATTCGTCCATCGTCCGAGGCCTTGCGCTTGATCGTGAAACTGGCCCTCATGGAGTCATGCCTGCCATGCCGTTTCTCTCTCTGCTCTTCGTCCCCTGCTCCCGGTATTCATCAAACATCCCATATCCCAGGCCGTGCTGTCAAAGGGTCGCATGCCTGCGACCTTCTCTTTCGCCCATTGTTTCCCTTTCACAAAACATGCGCCCTTGTCACAACATGCACGACACAAACCGCTTGCTCTCGCTCACACACAATTCTTTGTGCAAATCCTTGTGTAAGAGCAAGCGCCGGCCGTACCTTTGACCAACGTCACTTTGTGTTTTCTTTTCGCTCTTCATGCGACATGCTGCAGGAGAGTCATCTGAAACGGCAGCATCCGTGTTCCTGAAGACGATATCTTGTGCGGTGCGGATAGATGTGCAACGCAACAATGGTGACCTTTATCATTACGGAGCAACAATCAAGCACCGCCTTTTGAAATATCCGGTCCTTTTCTCCCTCTGGTAGTCACAGCTTGAACACACTTCTTTCACAAAGACGAAGCTCCTTCGATACGCTAACTGGACAATATGCGAGGACACAATGACAGCTAAACCAGACGCGACGCCAACAAAACCCGCAGCTCTGTGCCTAACCAGCATACTTATAAGGGAGGTCATGGCTATGCATGAAGCTGCAGATGACTGGAATTCGCCAGAGGGGCCATGATGAATAAGGGTTCTTCCTCGAGTGTAGCCATGTCACCCGACTGCTCGCCACCAGTCCGTCAACACAGTATTCAAACAAACCACGTTCAAGCCCTGCCTTATTAGCGGTGAGAATAATCCATATATCCAACCCGCCCAATTTCCGCGCATACCTGCTCCGAAGCGACAACCCCAGTCCCACGCTGGAAATCAACACAACAAGCAGCCAAACAAGGCCGTAATAACTAAACACGAAGGATGAACCCGTTTGTCGTCTTCATATCGGACCTCGATACGATAACCACACATCGCCTTCTCTCACCAAACACCCCGTCCACTCGCAGCGTCGAGGTTGTATCGGCAGGGCCACTTACATACCTCGAATTAGCAGAACATGCCATGTACCCGTTCAACCCGGCCCGTAAACACCAAGCATTGCCACCAACGAAAAAATAAACAACAAACAAACAATTCCATTTTTCCAATACACTCCATCTCAAGGAAACATGCGCCCTGAAATGCAAGCAACTGCAGCTCACAGCCCTTTGCCCGCCCTGAAGTCCAATAGTCAGCTGCACTCGCAGCCCCCTTTTCGCCGCCCTCGCGCGCGCCCACGACGTCGGCAGCCCAGCATTCCTCAGCGTCGCCCCCATCAACACAATGCCCATCTACGCACAAAGAATGCAAAATTTCCAACGGGCCGTATTTCTGCCCGAACCCAGAATTCCAGTCGTCATTGTTGCTTCCTGCCGCATTCCCCTTGCCTTTTGGCCACAAACCCACCAGCGGTCCGTTGTTTGCTGCCGCCAGCACCATTGTCCACTGCGTCATGTTGTTGTATTTCCTGAAATCCATGTACTACAAAAATATTGGCAGAGCTCACCAATCGTTTTACATGGGCAGAGCCGCTCGTGTTAGTCAAAGTGCTTAATTAAAGTAAAGTGCTTGCATGTGGCGGCGCGTTTCGCGTCACGCCTGCTGCACGACATGTCTCTCTCTCTCTCCGCACTGCAGCTCATCAGCCCTCTCCATCCCTCCCTTGACGGGCCCCAGGGGCTTTCTTTGTCTGTGCGGGTTCCTGGTTCCTGCGTCCGCTCCACCTGTTGAAGAATACAAAAGTAAACCAAAATAGTCTCGCCTCGAGGGTGCCCTTGTCTAGGAGGGCGTGGAGATAAGGCAGGGGTTCCGAATATTGGATTGAACTTTGTCCTATGCTCCCCCGCCAAGCTGCCTAGTTGGCAACTCCCGAGTTTCGTAATACGTCACAGGCCCGGCGGGGGTTGGTTGGTTGTCTTGATGACCGCGAAACAAACACTCGCATCAAGCAGCATATGGGTGGGCAAGTACTATCATGAAAAAAAATGAAAAAAATGAAAAAAAAAAAAAAAAAACAGACTTGTTTCAAAATTGTTCATAGCTCAAAGGTCTAAGTATGTGGTATTATTATCATCATCCCATCAAAATAATTAGTAGAGAAACAAGACCATATCCTATCGTAAGAATACGCCTCCAGCGCCCATGACGAAATTGTTCCACCCAACACCAAAATTAATACACATTTCCATACAAATTTCACCACGTCTTGTGACACATGCGTCCCTATGCCAGATAGGGCGCCTACATTAGTTTCACATCAATCGTCATCACCATCCAGCAGTGACGGGCACATGAACGTCCATAGTCTCTCTCCGTCTCTTGAGGGGCCGGGGGCTCGCACCTCGCTCGTGGGAGCTGGGCGCTGCTCCTGCAGATAGGGGCCAATGGGGAGGAGCCCACATGGCACCGTGATGATCTCCCGCATGGGATTCAACCTTGGTATTTGGTCCCCATTCTGCCGTGGCGCTGCCTGGTGCCGAAGCTGCTGCAGACCAGCCGTCTAGGGCAGACATGTCCCATCCTTGCATGTTGCTGGTATCCACGCCAGAGTTGTCGTAGACGAGCTGGTTGGGGAGTTCGAGCGAGGTGCTGGCAGTCATGTAAGAGTTGACCGCTGTGTTGATTGGCTTCACCTCGGAGAAGGACTGCTGTCCATCGAAGAAAGGCTGGTTGTTGTTGCCAAGGGCTGTTGGCTGGCGCTCGTGTTGCGGTGGCGGACCGGTCGTTGGGAGGAATGCTACTCCATTGTTCGGCCCCAGGTTGCCATCAAACGAGCCACTTCTGGTATCAAAGCTGGCACTACGAGCATCAAAACTCCCGCTTCGGCTGTCAAAATTTCCCGTGGGATATGCTGGGGGCAGAGTTGCCGTTGGTGGTGGCGTGGCTAGTCCGTTGGAGAATGAATCAAAAAGCCCGATGCTGTTGTTGGGAGTTTGCAGAGGCGGGACATGTGGCACGTGAGGCGCGCTGCTGCCTTGGTCCCAAGAGTTGAAAGTCTCATTCATTGCTGCTGTCAAGTGCTGGTGGATGGTGGGAGTTGGCGACATGAGAGCATCTCTAGAGACGTTTGCCGTTGGATAGACCAGCGCCTTTTGCTGATGGTACCGGGACATTGGGTCATTGATAGTCAGCCATCGCCAGGTAGTCCCAGCAGGCTTGAAGACCGGGTTGTACTTGTGCCACTGATTGGTCGTGTTGAATCTCCAAAAGATGATTGCCTGGCGAGTCCACTGCGTAGAATCGGGCGCGCAAGACCAGAGCTCCTGGTACATGGCCACCTTGCAAATCAAGTCGCTGCCAGTCGGTTCTCGGCGAGTCCACGAGGCAGCGTCGCCTTCATCCTCGGAGCGCTTGCGCTTGCTACCAGCTCTCTCGAGTTCCTTCTTGCCGTCGCCATCGGCATACTTGCGTCGCTTCTCCTTCAGGCGCTGGTGCTCAACATCGGGATATTGCA